AACATAAGTAAGGTTAAACATAAGTAAGGTTATGTTCAGTTTCAGAATATAAACATAAGTAAGGTTATGTTCAGTTTCAGAATATAAACATAAGTAAGGTTATGTTCAGTTTCAGAATATAAACATAAGTAAGGTTATGTTCAGCTTCAGAATATGAAAATAACCCCACAATGTAAATAATGCTACACCATCCATGAAATACAATTATAATATTGTTATTGTATCTTTCAGCAATTATTGCTGAAAATAAATTAAACAAATCTGAACCAAAACTGTATGACTATTTAATTCAGAAAGTTTTGTAAAATGTTGGTAATTATCTACGGGAATTATGCAACTTCAATGGATTCATTTAATCAGTTGTCACTCTTACTAATGTTTCTATATAATGACTGTTATTATGTATTTTCTAATTTTAACAATTTGTTAAACAGAACCATGTGTATTTATGCTAATATTTTATAAAGTTCACAGAGACCAAATAATTATGCATGTAGCTCAGTTATTTAGTTTTATGATTTAATGACACCTACAACTTTCCATACCTATCTGGTATAAGACTCAGATCAGTCTTTCGATGAAAATACTATATTTTTCAGTACGTAAAAGATTTTTATCTCTGCGATGTAAATTTAGGGAATATTTGCTCCCGAAAACTACGGTGCATCTCAGACACCAGAGAATACTGTAAATAGAAAATAAAATTATATTAAATTATTTTTATTTAAATGACCGTATCCAACTACAAATGAAACGTGTCGGAAACTGATAATACTTAAACTATAAAGGACTTTAACATACATTTTTAAACTTTACAAGATAGTATTTCTAAAACCACAGTCGTGCGAGTAAATGTTCTGAGGCCAGAGCCTCATCTCCACCTAGTACCAAGGTCTAGAATGCATGGAGCTTTACCTCTCCACCATCTATACGCCAACATTTGTCGTTTGGGCACAGGGTAGATTCTACTTAACAAATACAACTCAGACTAATGACTAGCTTAAATATTAAAATATTTTCTAAATTCTTTGATTGACTAAAGTGACTTTATTATTATTATGTGTCAGGTAATACAAACCTTGGCTATTCGAATGACTTCGGGAATGTTAAGATATGCCTGCACGGGGGGTAGACCCTTGCCAACAAGATATGATTCATCTGCCTTTTGTCGGTGCATATGCATCTTATCTTGTTCTGAATAGATCGCTACAGAACGTATTCCCAGCTCCGTACATGCACGGAATACTCTTATAGCAATCTCGCCTGAAAACAAAAGACTTTATCACATGAAGCAGTGTCATTTAAGGACAGTTAATCTTTAATAGATTTTTTTTAAGTGTTCTGTCTGACGACAGATCAGGTCCATATGAACAGGATCCTTCCATCCTTTTCTCGGACTGGGACCTGTTCATATACGTTCTTGGCAGATGATCCAGAAGTGGTTTGCCATTGCCTTCGTCTGTGTGTGAATGGAGTAATTGTTGCCACGGAGAAACCGGGGAAGCCCCCGGAGGAAAACTCCGGGTTGCCTAGACCACGGCCTTGCCCAACAAAAAATAATGTTATTAAGACGGCTATAATTAGCGTCTCAAATATACAACTCTTAAATAAGGTACCATTACCTATCGTCACTTCAGGTACAAGAATTTGCAACATGGAACATAGGAGTAGAAAATGTTTGTTACATTCAGTGGGGAAGGATCTCACCAGATACAGTAGGATGGTTCCCAGTGTGTTGAATAACGAGCCATGGAATAGCACAGGAACTTGTTTCTGGTAGTCGAAACACCTGGAAAGTGATCTGTCTGGTAGATACGTTGTGGAGGTTCCAAGTCTGAGAGTACAGGGCTGTATCACCACGGCAGAATCATCAGACGCAAGCAGATGAGGCAGTCTTATAGATAGATCCTTGCAAAGCACTTACTGTTAGCATTGTGCACTTATATAATGCTTTAATTAGGTCAAAGCTTGAGTATGCCTCGGTCGTTTGGAATAATCTTACACAGACAGATTCTAATAAATTAGAAAATATTCAAAGAAAATTTGCCAGTTTATGCAATTACCGATTTTTCCAGTTTAATATCCCCCGAAAATATGAACTGATCCTATCTACTTTAAATTTTAGAACACTTTATTCCAGACGACGACATCTCGATGCGTTATTTCTTATTAATGTATTTAAGGGCAAAATAAATTGCCATTCCATTATGGAC